GGTTGCCTGATGTTTTGGTGTTTTTGTGTTTTTGTGACACAGTTCCATGGGACGATTCTGAGGAAGACACTGTGGGAGAGTGTATGATGTACTTGACCATGGCCGATATCACATGTTGCCGGATGTTCCAGTTATTGTGTGACACAGTTCCAGGGGATGGTCTGAGGGAGACTCTGTGGGAGAGTGTATGATGTACTTGACCATGGCCGATATCACATGTTGCCGGATGTTCCAGTTATTGTGTGACACAGTTTCAAGGGACGATTCTGAGGAAGACGCTGTGGGACAGTGTATGATGTACTTGACCATGGCCGATATCACATGTTGCCGGATGTTCCAGTTATTGTGTGACACAGTTCCAGGGGATGGTCTGAGGGAGACTCTGTGGGAGAGTGTATGATGTACTTGACCATGGCCGATATCACATGTTGCCGGATGTTCCAGTGCCTGAGTGACACAGTTCCAGGGGATGATCTGTGGGAGGTTGTATGACGTACGTGACCGATATCAGGGGTTGCCTGATGTTTTGGTGTTTTTGTGTTTTTGTGACACAGTTCCATGGGACGATTCTGAGGAAGACACTGTGGGAGAGTGTATGATGTACTTGACCATGGCCGATATCACATGTTGCCGGATGTTCCAGTTATTGTGTGACACAGTTCCAGGGGATGGTCTGAGGGAGACTCTGTGGGAGAGTGTATGATGTACTTGACCATGGCCGATATCACATGTTGCCGGATGTTCCAGTGCCTGAGTGACACAGTTCCAGGGGATGATCTGTGGGAGGTTGTATGACGTACGTGACCGATATCAGGGGTTGCCTGATGTTTTGGTGTTTTTGTGTTTTTTGTGACACAGTTCCATGGGACGATTCTGAGGAAGACACTGTGGGAGAGTGTATGATGTACTTGACCATGGCCGATATCACATGTTGCCGGATGTTCCAGTGCCTGAGTGACACAGTTTCAAGGGTTGATCCTGAAGGAGGCTGCGCGGGAGGGTGGATTTTCGACGTTGCCATAGCAACCTCTGACAACAACCCCTGCTACTCATGGCAGTGTCGTCGCGATCTCTCTCGCTGACGGTCAAGTTCGCGTACTTTAAGTTATTTAATTAGTGGTTTTACGCTTTATTGTGGATGGTTGAATTGAGGTTATTTCTGAAATCGTGGTGTTAAAATCGGTTTCATTAGAAAGAATAGTTGACTAATTTTAATTCGTTTTATATTTTAGATAGGAGTAGTTGTATAGGTTTATACAATTTTTAAAGGTAATACAAATGTTATTTTTTACATAAAAAAAAGGATTTGCCTGTTGTACGTTAACAGTTACAATATCTGAGATTATTTAACCCAGTATCGATTAAAATAGGTTTTCGTGTTGAAAACTGTTCCAAAAATCAAAATTTGGTGTAGAAAAATATTTTATTACGTAGTTACTGAAGGTGCTGCTTGTAGTTTACTGTTTTACCACTCGATTCCCTGATTTCGATCGAATATTAGTTCTTTCCTAACTTTCTAAAATACGTAGTTGGATTGAAGATTTATTTTTTGTAATATAATCTTCGTTATACTTTTAAAATTTGCATACAAGTCCCGTATCAATCTTGTCTTTGTCCTCATTTATGCTGAGGACCTAAAATAAGGTTCTCAGGTCGAAATTATAAAACTGTTTCAATGAAATCCAGTTCTCCCTAAGTATATTCGTTACTTAATTGACGATGTTCTATGATATTCAGTTTCAGTTAAATGTAGAACTTAAATGAACGGATGCATTTAATTTAATAATTTTATAAACAAAGCCCTAAATCAAAATATAAACAAAGCGCTTTGTTAAAAGATCAAAATTTGAGTATATGTTTGGTCATTGTGGTGTTTAAGAAAGTTAAAATGCTGTATTTTAAGATGAAAACTAAAAACTGATTGTAAAACATTGAAACTGGAATTTTTAGCATCCAATATACACATGAGTAGTGGCAGTAAAATTGATTGTGTATTTCATCAAGCCAATTCAATCGAAATCGTTTGATCAAATTATTGCCTGGGTAACTAAATTACCTCTAGCATCATCATTTAACATTTTACAGTCTTTATTATAACATTTTCATACCTTTTGTAAAATAAATTATTCTTTAGACTAAGAACACTATAAAATTCGTAAATACTGGTTTTAAAACATCAAGCTTTGGATTCAACATAAACGTTCTGGGCATTTCGTGAAGCCAATTAATTCATTTGGAATCGTTAACGTTAACCAGATTATATTGGCCCGGGAAATAAAATACACACAACACAGACAATAATTGTAAACCACTTAGATTTACATTTAAATATTTTACAGCAACAATTTAACCAAAAATAATTAAATTTTATAAGTCTTTGAAAATAGTCATAGTGAACATTGATGTTAAAACAGCCGATTTAAGCTGCATTGTAAACATCCTAAACGCCTAGCCAAGCCATTTCAATCAGAATCAGTTAATCAAATTGTATTGGCCCGGGGAACAAAAATAACCTCTAACATCCTATTTTCAAATTTCACTTGTTTACCTAATTTCTTTATGCATCAGTAGTTTTTTATGTACAGATTTGTAAAAGTCTGTGTTATTTTTCATTGTCATCATCCTGATAAGTTTATACAATCAAATTAATTTGGAATTTTTCGATCAGATTATATAACTGCGTGCCGGTAGCTGAATTTTTATTTCAGGATTAGTGTTGTCTATAGTATCATTTTGAGGCTTCTGATTGGCTGAGGGAACATCATTACAGCGACGATACGATTGATGCCATCGGCTAGTGGGGTAGTGGATAAAGTACTGGGCTGAAGATCCGAAGGACCCGGGTTCGAATCCCCATCCGTAGCACTATTTTTTGTATTGGATTTTTTTCATTATCATCAAGTTTGGTTGGTTTGGTTAGGTTATGACGGTTTAATTTTAAAATTAAAACATTATGAAATTGAATTTGACCCATTTATAGTTTTATTTTACGAACAGAAATATTTTTTCTGTTAAACCTTCATTTGATTTTTCATTATTAGCAAGTTTGGTTAGGTTATGATAGTTTAATTTTATAATAAAAAAATTATAAAATAGGATTTGAGGCACTTATAATTTTATTTTATGAACAGAACTATTTTTTCGATTAATAAACCTTCATTCGATTTTTTCATTGTCAGCACGTTTGGTTGGTTTGGTTAGGTTATGACGGTTTAATTGCATAATAAAAAATATAAAATTGAATTTGAGGCATTTATAATTTTATTCTATGAACAAAAAAAAAAAATTTTCAATTACTAAACCTTTGTTATGGTCAATCTAGAAGCCTCTAAATGACACGTTGGCAAAATTAATCCTGAAAAACAAATTGTGCCTCCCGGTAAACAACATAACCTTTAACATTTTAGTGTTTCATGTTACCCAGATTTTAATTTTTAATTGTTCAAAATGTTTGTAAAACTTATTTATTATTATTTGTGAACATTGAAATGTTTGACTGTGCTGCACGTGTTTAGAGTACCACTGACTATGCTACATCTTGGAAGTCAGACTCTGAACGGGACGTCGACCATGGAGTTGTTGACATGTAAGGAGTGTGTGCGGAAGAAGCGCGTTTCCTGCGGGCCCAGGACGGAGGGCTGCGCCCCGCTGGTGCTTCGGAGATGTACTCGCCCTTGCTGCAACCACCGACCTCGCCTCCTCCTGGACGACCAGCTGGTGTCTCTGTGTTCCGTCCTGGAGATCTCTACGATGCCGAGACTACCGAAACAACCGGAGGTCAAGCCGTCTCCTCGACATCGGAGCTCGGTGAGCTGAACTTTATGTATATTCATACAAAATTGACATTATTTAAATAACGGTTCAAACCCGGTTCTTGTTACAGTTCAATGTCAATATTGTTTAGCTAATCAGTTCAAATCACTAATGCGTGAATCGATCTCGCTTGGAGTCGAGCCAGCGAGGATCATATATGAACAGGGCGCTATTATCACTCGGCTATCTAGATAACTTAAGTATCATCTATATATTAATAGGCAAGCATGTTTCTGTAAAACCTTTTCTCCCAGCTCGTGTGCATCGCAGGGAGAGTCTACGCATACTGTTAGAACTAGATTTTCCTGTAGATGTGCAGAATCCCTTTATAAATTAAAATAGGCTAAAAAATAAGCACAAAAAATTTATTTTAAAAGTGAAAGAATTATCATGGGATGCTGGTGATCAAATAACAACTAAATATAAACAGAATATCAAAACAAATTAAAGAAATTCCAATTACATGTTTTATTTACAGTGTGGGGTGAAAATAGAGAAGTCTGTAGGCTACATTACTTATTTTTTGTCGAGTTTTCGACCACTGGACGACCTCTAGTTAAGTATTATTTGATAAATAACTCCTTTAAAAGTCAAGCAGTTTTTATTCGACTTTCAATCAGCCTAAGAGTCTTACCTGAAGTCGTTGTAGTGTTTAGTAACAAAGCTACACAGGTCATCTTATTCATTCTAACCTATCCTGCATATTCAGGTTGTGTAGGTATGCATTGCTGTTTTGTCAATACAATTTAATCAGCCTTGTGTATGTGTTTGGCTATTATACGAATAATAAAATACGTCGGCAAAAGACTTTCAATTTATCCATACTTATACTGGAAACATTTACGAAACGGTGAATATTTATAAAATATGTCACAATCGTTATACATTTTGGCCATTGCAACTATTTGCTCATTATCAGAGCCGATCAACAGTCTCTGTTTTTGGCTTGAGCATGACCGATGTCACTGGTCTTCATTATTCTATTATCGTATGATGAATGAAAAAAGAAAGAATGGATATATTAATGAATGAATGAATTCGTGCATAAATAATAATCTGTATTCACTTCTTATGGGACAGTCCCCTTTATTTTTAAGATGTTTTTGGGGTGGTTTGGAATTTAAAAATATTTCTTTTCCAATATAGCCGACAACTTTGTTATTTCTTATTGGTATTTTATGATTGTTTCAAAATGTTAAAGCGGCTTCAAACGTTTTTATTCTTATCATTTTTTTTTCTCTAAAGCTACTCTTTTAGGTGTTACAGCGTGTTACAAGTAAGAAAAAAACTGTGTGTTGTACATTCTGCATCATGTACATAGCTTAAACGAGTAAGTTTAGAGAGAAAATTCAGAAATTTAATAAGTATTGAAATTGTATCTACATTATAATAAAATCACGTTTAAAATATTGATTTCGTTGTTTCAAAATGGCCACCACTTTCCAAAATGGCAGCTAACTTTAATATTGGAACACTCTGTATTTTATGATCTTTTATTAGGATGTAGATGTGATTTTAAGATTTATTTATTATTTGAATTTCCTCTCTTAACTTGCTCGTTTAGGAGCTACAGGATGCAGAATGTATAGACTACTACAAGCCCTTTTTTCTTAAAAGTAACCCACTGTAACTCCCAAACTAGTAGGCCCTAGCTTTAGAGACGACATTACATGAACAAAAACGTGTTAAAATCGCATTTACATTCTAAAACAATCATACAATACAGGGTGTTCAATAAGAAATAACATAGTTGTCGGCCATATTGGAAAATGGCGGACTTTTAAAATTTGAAGCCATTCCAAAAAACATCTTAAAAATAAAGGAGAGTGCCCCATAAGAAGTTAACTCTATATTTCATGATAAATTGGTACACTTTAGGTGGGACTTAAAAATCAACTTTATGAATATCCATTCAATTTTATGTAATTTACAGAAGAAATAAGATTTGTTACATCTTTACCCAACATTACGTTTGAGAGATACGGTGATATAGAAATACTACCCAATACATCATAAAATGTATGATCGATAAAAAGCGGATTTTATTGATTCGTTTTTGTTTAAGAAAAACTAAATGATATTCTGACAATCGTAAAGTTAGTTAACTTTTGTATGCAAGGAAGTAAATATATTATACTTTAAGAATGTATTACCACCTTATTTAAAAGTTCTTACCTCAGATAAGTAATAAGTCTTTTTTATTACAATACTATTACCGACGTGCCAGTACAATATCCAAAATGTTAGCAGAGAAATTGTGGATGTACACTTTTTTGCAGTTGTACAATTTTTAGATAAACAAGAGAGGGAAAATGGAATAATAGAGGCATGTTTTGTTTCGTCAGCAACAAAAACACATGTAACCGTCATAACGACTACACGTGTCCTCTGTTAGTGTGGCGTTGCTATCTTTTACCACTCACTTTGTTCTGTTATGCACGAAAGAAACAAAAATTGTACCGAATTCGTGTGTAGAGTAAAACGTTCATGGCTGTTAACAAGCAAGTAGTTAACAAGATGGATTGTTACAGGGTATCTTGTTAAAATGTCAGTTTTGTTGTGGATGAATGGAATAAACCATGTTTTGTATCGGATTCTTTGAATGTGTGTCGGAACTTTTCCAGAAACCTAGAGATGATGAAACTTACATGATTCTACCGTTTTATTTGCTAGTTATTGAGATATTATATTTTACTTTATCAAATGCCTTTGCTTCATTTAAATAAAAAATAACCCTACCGTAGCAAACTTGCAGAATAAGCAAATTTCCATTTGCCTGATTTGATTCTCACGTAAATATATTGAAATAACATTAGGTTTAACGAGTACCTAGATTTGCTCCAACAGGGATAGTAATGAAGTGTGGCTTTTGGTGAAATATTAATAGCTTAGTAAAAACTTCAAGATGATTTATTCTCCATAAGAATAAACCAAACTGCAACCAATTTGAATATATAGTTATTGTTTTTTTTTACCTTAAATGTATTTGCTCATACTTTACTCCTCTCTAACTAAAAACGATTCTCTTCAATAACACAAGAATGTTAAACGAAACACTGACTGTGGAATGACTAGTAACAGTCCCATCAAAGTCCAAGCTGGATAAACGTTTTCAAAGACATTTTCAATTTCGCACGAATTTAATTGAACGGATTCCACGACATAGTAAATTTGATTCTCCGAAGTCAGCTTCAAAGACCACGTGTCTTAGCTTTCCTTTCAAATTACTTCACTCGTTGTAACGTGACTAATGTGACAGCATTAGTGCATTCAATTTGTATCTTCATGTTAGTAGATATAAGTTTTCAAATAGCCTTTAATGCACTCAAATTAAATTGATCATGTTAAAGGCAAATACCACTCACTCATTGATCACTATCTAAAAAACTACAAACCATAGGAACTCAGGAATTTAAATAAATTGATCTATAGTATAAACTAGTCCTTCAGATAATAATGGCAGAAATAAAAGAAGAAATTGAGCACAATTGTTGATAGTTACGATTGTTTGAATCTATTGTTTAAATGTCAATCGATAGAGCAGCACACTCCTGGAATATTCAGTTTAAACCACTATGCTGCTATTCAATATTGTTTCTCATGATTTAATATGGTTGGTATTGTTGGGTTTCAGTTGCTAAAATAATTTGTTAAATATGAAACAAACAAAGGCCGTCTTTTAGATATTCGTGTCAAATGGAGTATATTTAAACAATAAACGTACTATGGTTTTAGGTATATAGTTAGAACACTGACCATAGTTAGTTCGGACTTGGGTGCGGGAGCGACGGGTTTGATTCCCGTCAGATGATCCACAACACATGGGGTTTTTTTCCCTAAAAGCGTTTGAAAACTTCCTCCTGTTCTTCCCGTAAAAATTCCTCCAGCATTTGTTATAGAAATCAAGAAAAGAAAAAAATAGTATCTGTACACATTTTTGTAGATAGCAAGATTTACTTTGGTTTGTATGTTGACTGCAGATTAAGGTGGGTTCCGAATTACCAAAAGTATAATTTTATCTTTATATACACAAATATTTTGTTTCACCTTAAATGGAACACTAAAATACAACTGTCTCTTAAAGTTTTTTTTTCCACTATCAAAACAAAACATAAAAATATATGTCTTTATTTCTCCAAATAATTATTCTTTAAATATATTTGGTGCCATTGTTTTTGTTGTAAGCGATAAGCCACTGTTAGGATTCATATACTAAAAAATAAGCCTAGTATAAGATATCCAAAATGATTTAATTACAATTTAAAATGTTTTCGCCAATTATATTCTTTGTAAAAACATGTACGGCATAACACTTATTTTAGATGTTGAACTCTAGGATTGTAAAATCGAACAATTTTGTAAAACAATAAGGTACAGATATTTATGATTGTGAAGATTGAAAAATTAGATAAAATCTGTGTTTACATGTTAATTATTTACTTTTAAAACGTAAATGATGTAAAAGCTTGGACATATTTTGCACTCGACAAAGATCAGTTGGCAGCAGTTTTGTTTACGCTTCTTTTCAAGCGTTAAGTAATTAAAATTAATGACATTAACACAAACCTAATGACACGAACCATTACACTTCAATGAAAGTACCCAATTAGTTTTATGATATTTCGTTTCAAGCTTACAACCCATTAACCTACTTTTGTTAGTGAAAATATGAATTTGTATAATAATTTGTGTACTTCAGTAATTATTGAATCAACTATGTGGATATTTTGGTATTTCAGACTTACAGTACGAAACTGATTGGGTGGGTAAAATTATATCTTTCATCTCGTATATCTATTTTAAGCAGAATTTCACCTTGAAAGGAAATTATAACCATGAAGAGTTAAACTAAATTAAAATCTGGGATCGTTGTATAATTAAATATAAAACTAAGTGGTGAGTAAATAATGAAAACAGCATGAAACACACCTTACCATTTTATCTTTATTTTATAATTATTCTAAGTGTTTGCAGCTTTTTTCACAGCCATAGAA